CCACCATCCTGGCAGTCGCTTGACATGGCGTGTCCCAAACTATACGCTGTATCCTGAAATATTATTTTCCAGCAGAAATCTATCTAATTTGTCCTTGAATCAAACGCTGGGTAGCTTTTCTAGGTACTAAATAGTGGCAGAGTTTAACCCCAGGCAGAGGGATTGAGGCAAAGAGCTCCAGAATTTTGGGGCGTAGTGGCCTGAAGCATAATAAAAATAATCCTTGCTTTTGATATTATTGTGTTTCCGAGACATTTCAAAGCACTTCACAGAATATACTGTAAAGTGAATTGACTATATATTTTGTGGGCAAAAAATATGTCCCATCAATGGTGAAGAGGGGGGAATGAGGTAAAAGGCAAAAAAAGCAGTAGCTACTTCGCACACAGCCAGGTCTCACAAATTATCAATTTGTCTGGAGGATTATTAGGGATTTTTGAATAGCTTTAGGCGATTATTATATCTGCCTGAAAAGGCAGGCCGCACCTTAGTTTCACTTTTCAACCCAATAGATGGCACCTCCAACAATATAAGTCCATTGTAGGGCTGGAACTCACAACCTTCTGACTCAGAAGCGAGAGTACAACCCATTGAGCCAGGCTGACAATCAATGGTGTTCCATAACAGCAACCCACCTTACCATGGAACCATACATCTATGGAGTAACGACCGATTGGTCGTTGATGGGAATAGAGAGACTGCTATTTCAGTATAATTGTGATCACAATTTTCAATGGGCAGTTTGAATCCCCAGCATTAATGAACGGGGAATTGAATTGAATTGGCAAAATCAGTCGATGTCACCGCTGTCTGACTTGCTGGCATCAGTGCTAGATGTAAAGTCATTGTTAGCCCTGCATGAACAGTCAGCCCAGAGCCGCCCAGTGCCTGCCACAGCCATTCTTAGCTGAACAATTAGAGATGCGCACAGTAGGCAGTAACTATATGGTATGAACCACAGCAATGTGTCAGGTTGTAGCATTGGCAAAATATCCATGCTGTGTGTTGAGCTGTGTCTCTACATTTGTTATATTGAAATAAATTGGCAGTGCTGGATCTCGGTGCAATTGCAAACTTACTTAAAGGGAAAGTAAATGAAGTACAGTACAATAATAATAATCCTTGCATTTGATATAGCGCGCTACTAACCTGCAGACGGCTTCTTTGTGTTAATTTACAACAATCTATCTCTGAAATTTCCATGTGTAGGTGAGATGCATGAAATTCTCAGTTTGGTTTGGGTACTCTTAAGCATGGTGATGGGTTTCTGCATGTGTCAGACATCTGGCTGACCCCCCAAAAAGTGTTAATTCCCAGGTGTAGTGGATAGCCGTAATCTTTCCATTTGACACAATGCCTTATTGCACTGTCAAAACTTTTCGAAATGCTTCACAGGATTTACTGTGACGAGGGGTAAATTTGCGCACAGAAATGTCCCACAAACTGCCATGAAGTAAGTGAATGACCAATTTTATTTAGAGGATTGTTGACCAGGACACCGGGGGAAACTCCCTGGTTTCTTTTCCCAATAATCCCCACAGTATCTTCAATGTCCACCAGAATAGACAGGACCTCGGTTTAACATCTCATCTGAACGACAGCATCTCTGACAACGTACTGCTTCCCCAGCATTACCCTGGAGACTGTCAGCCTCGACTGTGAGCTCAAAGTCCCAGTGTGGGGTTTGAGCCCACACCTCTCTCACTTCCCGATCGCCACATTCCACCCCTGTAACTGAACGCGTCCCGCTGCTTTGGCTCCCACTTATTGGAGTGTTCTCAAGCCAGGTGACAGCCTCACTGGCTCCGTGGGAAGACCTGAGGCTGTTTATCAGTGTGGCACCATTCCCATTCCTGAATTAGTAGGGTTTTAATGCCTCAGTAATCCGCATATCCAACCTGTCAGACGTTCTATCCGATTAGCACCACAAATGGATCAGCCCGGGCTTCTCTGCAAGTACTCCTGAGTACTGCTGTCAGGACGGAGGCTTTCTAATTGAACTCTACAATTGAGAAAGCCAGCAACAACTAGCTCAAAGTTGAGGTAAATGAATGTAGAACGTAGGGAGTGTATCAATGTAAACCATCTGCTTCTACTTTAGAAGTCAGCCTGGCTCAGTTGGTTGCACTCTCGCCTCTGTATCAGAATTTTTTTGGAGGGTCAGCCGAATGTCTGACACATGCGGAGACCCATCACCATGCTTAAGAGTCTCCAAACCAAACTGAGAATTCCAATGCATCCGACCTGCACAAGGAAATTCCAGAGGTAGATTGTTGGAATGGAATGAACACTCTCTCCCTGGAGGGACACATCCTGCTTACCTAATTAGTATTAGGCATAGGAGCCAAGGCTTGGGGATCCCAGAGCGTGCATTGAGGTACTGCTGGAATCTAATCAGCTAAAACCTCATTGCTTACCATTGATATTGCTGTCTGGCAAGCTTTCCCACTGCTTGTCCAGTTAGGACAACCCTACCTGTTATGGCTTTGGCTTGCAGGGTTAACAAAAGTTGAGTGGGATGACTACCTGCCCACCCTCAATCATTGATCTGACCTTCCAGGTCTTGCCGATGAGCCAGGCTGGCTGTGCTGTCATCAGCAGTGCCCTGGAGTACTGTGGACCCACCTAGCTCAGGAACCGGAATACCGAGACCGCCACAGAGGGCTCGATTCCGACATTCCGTAGCTAAGCATGTCACCGTTGTACCCTTATTTTTCTGAAGGAGTTCCAATTTTACAGCTGCAAATGCATTTTCTGGAAGCCTTTCACACACAGCTGTAATGATGTAATGCAAGGACTATAGGGTGGGTATTCTGGAAGTATGCAATCAAATGAACCAAAGTGACTTGTTCACCTGAGACTTTGTTGTGATCTTCAATGCTCTGGGGAGAATCTTTTTATAATCTCTCGTCTTGCTTGGTCTGTGCTAATGTGAAACGTGTGTGTGTGTGTGTGTGTTTGCGCGTGTGGGAGGTGGGGGAGTTGGGGAAGACCAGCGTTACTTATCAATTGCTCGGGAGCAGTCATGTGCAGTGGCAATATTTCTACTTCAAATACACTCTGGAGCCCATGTGTAGTATGCGTAGACTTCTCCGAGTGGCTATATTTTGTTGTAGTTTATAACCTGGAGCTTTGAGATCAGAACGACTGGTTTGAGACCACTTTGTTACGGCACTTGAACATTAACACTCCATCTTGGTGATAACGCGAGGATAGGAGATTCTCAATTTCTCTCCTCTCAATACATACCACACACGCACACCACACACACACAACACACACCACACCCACATACACACACACACACGTGTGTAATATATATATATATATCCTCTCTCACACACGCTCACTCATTTTCACACACACACACACACACACAATGCTGAGGTCGAAGCTTGGTGGGTCCATTTAACCGCTCACCCCTTTTCTGCTCCTTATCTAGGAGGGGTAGATGGCTGGTAGCTTCTACTGAGTGTCTCTGACTCAGAGTAGTTAGAGGTGGAAACGTGTCCTCATCCCTGTAAGCTGACATCTAATGAATAGGGTGGTACCTGGCTGGACAAGTACTTATTAGTGCTTCAGAGAGAGAAGCTGTGGGGTTCATATGTGCACAGAGAATAGAACCTGTTTAACTCCTTCCTTCTCGCATAATTCTTTGATGATGGTTTTCAAAAGCTGCCTCATACTGTAATTACCATGCTCCTGAAAGTGCCATTTACCGCAGGTTGTTTTTGTACTCAGTTCAGTCTGTTGTTCACTTTGTGGGACCTGTTTATGGGACATTGCTGTGTGCAAGTGCTGTCGGAGTTGCCTACAAAATTGGCAGGAATTATCTGTAAGGTACTGTGGTCAGCCTACTTTTGACACCAAAATAGTGACAATAATTTGCATACAGGAGAATTCAAATCATAGAATCATAGACATATACAGCAGAGAGATTTTCTGAGCAAATGGAGTTTACAAAGAGAGAAGGCCTGAGACGGAGGGTTTGGGGGGCATAGTGGCTGAAGCTCAGCTGCTAATGGTGAAACAGAGGGAGCATGGATCAAGCAAGAACCCAGAGTTGGAGGAGAGGAGATTATAGCCAGAAGGATAGGCTCGAAGAGTTTACACGGGTAGTGTGTGAAGATTGTGAAGGAAAGTGAAGCATGAGGATCTTGCAGGCCGCTGAAACCCTAGGCTCGACTATACAAACTCACTGCTTGTCGGCCTCCCCAACTCCTCCTTCCACAGGTTGCAGATCATCCAGAACTCTGCAGCCCATGTCCTATCCGCACTAGTCCCCGTGACCCTATCACCCCCATCCTTGGCTGCTGCTTTGGCCTGTATAACAATTTATATTAAATACTCGTTTATTAATTAGCAAATTATCATTTTTTTGATTGACTCATTAAGTTAGATGCTATCTGTCTTGTGATGCAGATAGAATACAATGCAATACATAGTGCCTTTCTTGTTAGGACGTCTCAAAGGGCTTCATAGTATTGGGTGGGCACCCGAACAGGGTGTGGGAGCTGAGGGGGTTGGGGAGGGAAAAGCTGACTGAGAGAGCAGCCAAAGAGGTAGGCGAGGGGGAGATTTCCCCCTCTACTGCACTACGATTTCAAAGAAACTTGGTTATATTATAGCTCCTTCAACCCAAACTCAAATTGATGGCTACTCATCTTGTTGTTTGTGGGATGTTGCTGCCACATTCACCTCCAGAACAACATTCACCTAATTTCTAATTCATCGCATTCTGTAAGGTGCTTGTTATATTTGGGTTTTGTTTCAACCTGTATTTCACTGGTTCCCCATAGAATAGTTCTGTGCAAAATTCCCATGGCCTTTCAACAGCCGCACCCTCATACCTTTCAGAGAAATGCCCTTGACAGGATAAAAGGAAATGGGTGGGGGGAGAAGGAAATGGACTCATCCCCTCCCTACTTTGTTTTGATTCTTGATTATTGTACTGCCTTTTAATGCCATTAATACCTTTTTCTCTTTCTTTGTCCCTTTAGTCTTGGTGGCAAGTGTAATCCTGGGGATCCCTATGATGATGTGATCAGGTAAGTCCAGTCTGTTGTTAAATGCTGCATCAATTTCGCCTGCTTGACCTGCCTGTGAGAAACAACTTTGTTGTGCTATGTTTTCTGCTGTTCAAGATTAAGTTTATCAGTGCTGAGAAATGGAATCATTTCAATTTTGTGGACTGGTGACAGCACCTAGCACTCCCAGATCAAGTACAACAACAAGATTACATTTGTATAGCGCCTTTCACGTTGGGAAGACGTCCCGAGTACAGGTTAGATCCCTCTACATTGCCCCATCCAACTCTGCGTTAAGATAAACATCCTTCTTTTGCTCAAATAATTTATAAATTCTACATCAACTGACATTTCCAAGGTTGGTTAATTTTTGGTTCCACCTCTCCAATTCTCTTGCTCCTCTACAAATTACGTTACAGTTCAATGGGTATTGGGCATTCTGTGTAACCCACCCAAGTTGTAATCCCACCAGACATGTCTATCTTCTCTCAGTGTCCATTCATGCACTCAGCCTGGCGTAGTGGTAGCTCTCTTGCCTCAGAGTCAAAAGGCTGTGGGTTCAAGCACAACTGTGTGGAATCATAGTCTAAGCTGACACTTCAATGCAGTGCTGGGGGTGTGTTATATTGTTGGAGATGCTGTACCAAGAGCACTGACTAACTGGAACTGTCGTGGTTTGTACAGGTCAGTATTATGTCTGATGGTGCTTTACAAACAGTCATTGAGGAAGCAATGCTTTTACAGGAACTAGTCATGCTATTGAGCCACATAAGAATTATTGAAGCCAACCACAGTTGAACCTTTGGTGCTGGCAGCACCGAAAGCAGCTGAGTGGCTACATATGGAAAGTTCTGCAAGTGTTAACTACCATCCAGAACAAACTCTTTGTTCCCACTTACATGTTGGTAGAAATTGCAAAATAGACACAATACACAACATGGATTTGTTGTGGGTTCAGCCCGACCACGGCTGTGCAAAGTAGCAATGTGGTTCTGCGTCTCCATACCCATCGAAGATGTGATCAGGTGCTATATCAAATGCAAGGATTATTATTATTTACCTATGCCACCTGCCCTGAGGACGGGCAAGTGTGTGTAGCAAGTGTGCAGTTGTAGGTGGGTTTTGAAGATGCAGGAGGTGGGTTAGTGTCACCATGTGCTGGTATTCTCAACAAGAGAAATGGGTAAGAGACCCGGGGATGTGTGAGGAATAAAAGCCAATTCGAAAGGCTTGACAAAATTGTTTTCCTCGCAGCTTATTTTAATGAGCTGATGTCATCACAGCAACAATTTGGGAGCTGTAATGAGAGCCTTTCAGAGAAGACAATGGGGCCATTGATGAGGCTTAAAGCAGCAACGCAAGCTTCCTGAGAGGATCCATTAAATTCTTGGTTGTGGGTTTTAATGACGTGTGTGAGAGTTGCGGTGGCTGGCACCTGATGCTTTATATTTAAGTGCCCTCATCTTTCTTTCTTATCCAATCGCCCAATACTGAAGTCCCATTGCGTAGTGGTCATTGTGCTCGCCTCGCAAGCGAGAGGACCCGAGTTCGATTCCTGGGCGGGGCGAGACAAGTTTCCTTACTCCACTCATGCCTCTGTTTACCGAGCAGTAAGTAGGAACCCGGTTGTTAGTTGATTGGCAGATCGGTGTCTTGGGGTAATCCTCAAAAAAAATTGGTCACTCAATCCATGACTGTTTGTGGGATGTTGCTGTGTGCAGTTGGCTGCTGCGTTTCACCCACAAAATATACAGTCAATTCACTTTACAGTATATTCTGTGAAATGCTTTGAGAAGTCTCAACGGCATGATAAGGCGCTATATTAAATGCAAGGATTATGATAATTAATTTACCATTTTGCCTCCAAGATCAGATAAATGCTGAGTAAGAAAGGAACTAACCACATAATATCAGGGTTTCAGCACATTTCTGCCTGATAACTTGTGACATAACAGCACATTTCTAGGTGACGATAGCTGCAGAACTATGTATCCATGACACTAGTTTGAAAACAAGTCGGGTGTTTCTCCCACTGTTCTGGCTGAAAGCCTCCATTATCCAAACTCACCAAAACTAGAAATTAATTGTTTTTCTCAAGGTGGTGTGGGTGATGTTGCTGTCGCAGATTAGCTTCTGCGTTTGCCTACATAACATCAACAACAAATTACATTTTTACAAGCGCCTTTCACATTGGAGGACGTCCCAAGGCACTGGTGTTTGGGCTCAGGAGGGCAGGGAAGGTAGGTGTAGGAGGGTGGTCGAAAATGTGAAGATCTTGAAAGGAAGGAAGCAAAGGAGACGGTGAGGTGAAGGGACTGTGGGATGGAGTTCCAAAGGGTAGGGGCAGAGAGGCACTACACCTCAAAGCAATTTGTGTGAGTCACTTTGACAAGTTGCGGGGTGGTGAAGTGCTGTATGAAATACAAGTGTTATTCAGCTTGCAGACACTGAGTTGATGAAATATTGCACACATGGGAAAAATGTGTTAATGTTTGAATTTCCTCCAGTTTCTCCCAGTGTTTTTTCAGCAACCATTGGGGTCAAGGACATTTACTCCTATTGTCTCTACCTGCAGCCTGTATATTGTGTCCTTCATGTGGGGTAGTGTCTCGGAGTGCTTGAAAACGTGCCATTATCAAAAATCGGGAGGAACAAGAATGCTTTTTACAGCTAATGCTGTGGTTACTATAACAACCGGGCTGGAAAGCTGCCAATGCAATGTGGATTTGCAGCCCTTGTGTTGTGACAGTGGGAGGATGCCGGTGTGAATGGCAGAGGGGCTAAGGAGCAATGTGGGTGGTCTGAAGTGTCAGTGGTACTGTGTGTGGGCTGAAGGCCTGAGGGGCTGAGCAGAGTTGTATTATTTTATATGTAATCCAGAGTCCCAGGTGAAGGGCCAAAACACAAAGCACAGGACACCATTGAAGCTGAAAATTAAAAAAAACTCACATTTTTATAGTGCCTGTACTGTAAACCGCTTTATAGTAATTATTATTAAGTGTAGGGACTTTTCTGTGTAGGCAAATGAGATCCATTTTCTGCCAAGCAAGGTCCGGGAAACAGCAATGAAGTGAATGATCAATTTATCTGGAGGATTGGAGCAGGATATGCGCATCTAGTTTTTTTGAATAGTGCCATAGGATCTTTAACATCCATCTGCGCAGGGAGACAGGTCTTCAGTTTAATATTTCATTCAAAGTACAGCACCTCTAACAGTGCAGTGCTTGCTCTCTTCTCTTGAACGGACCAATTTCAGGATCCTTGTACTTGTCTACAAATTACCTCCCTACCTCAACAGCCTGCTCACATCCCACTCTATGCACGTCCTTCGCCTTCTGCTCGTCACCTGATCACCCCGATACGCCATCAGCAACCGTGCCTTCAGTTATTAAGGCCTGAACCTCTGGAACTCAATCCCTCTGCCTTGCCCTCTCTTTACCCATCTTCAGATCACACTTGAAGACTTTCCTCAACTGATGCCTCCCTTCTCTCCGCGTCTCAGCGTCAAACTAGACCATAGTAGATGAGATGCTGCCCTTCGTGAAGGACGCTATATAAACGCAAGTTTTTGTTCTCCTCACTCCTCACCCCCAGCATAGGAAAGATGTCAGTCCAGACTGTGACCTCAAGTCCTGCAATGAAACCACATCCTCTGACCCAGAGATGAGAACCCTACAACTGAGCCCTAGAGTAGGAGACGAGGTAAATCAGGACAGAGAGATCAGGCGACTCTGAGCTTAGGGTTTAAAAGGCTGTCGATTGTGGGGAGGTTCACAGCTGTGAAGTCCTGGGAAAGAACATCAATTTACATTTATCTATGTCAGGAGGAAGTATCAAAGTGCCTTGCAGAGCTGACTGAGAGAGAGTGGGAGTTAAATTGTGACTTAATAAACATGCAGTGTTCAAATCAAGATGGTGGTTCAGGGTGGATTTGATCTTGCATCGAGCACCACGTGTCAGGGTCAGGCTGCTGGTAAAAACATCAGTATGTAAGAAAATGATCCAATGTATCCAGCAGTCATTTTGGAGCATCAGAATTATTCTTATTCAATTATTGTTTCCCATTTACTTTGTCCAGAATCATTAGCACTTTTTCATTTGAGACATTAATTTCTGTCTAGTCTACATTGCCATTCAGGTGTACGTAAAGGCTGTTATCGTTTCAAAGTGAAGTGGATATTTTTTTTCCCCCTTCGGTTTTATTGGCTTATCTGAATCATGTGTCAGTAAGCCTCACGTTGGCATTTGAACTCACATAGTCTAAAATGACACTCCAACTGCAATGCTGGGAGTGTATTGCAATATCGGTGGCGCCATCCTTCAGTTGAGACGTTAAACTGTTTGCCTGTTCAGGTGGGATGTTAAAAATCCCACGCGACTTGAAAAGAGAAGGAAGTTTCTCCCATTGTCCTGCCCAACAATCTCCCCAAAATAAAAAAAAAGTCATTCATTTCATGGCTGTTAGGGGGACATTGCTGTGTGCAATTGGGCAGATGTGTTCGCCTGCAAATACAGTCACTCTACTTCTCAGTAAATCTTGTGAAGCACTTAGAGACGTCTCCCTAACATGAAAGATGCAATACCAAATGCAAGGATTATTATTTTATTATTAAATTATCCCCCAAATTCTAGTAAATTGTCTACTCATTGTTTGTAAGACTGCTGATGTAGGTTAGCTGCCACATTTGGCTCCATAGCATTCACTTTGTTTCCAATTAAAGCGCTTTGAGCTGTTTCTTTTATATTAAAGGTACTATTAAGTTGTTGATTCTCCTCTGGGATGTGTTGATTTTAGGGTTGTGTGTCTCTTGTTTTGGATTCACGGTGCCAGTTAAATAGGCTGCATTATGCGTGCTTCAGGATTTAAAGACTGGGGTCATGTCTCTAATAGTGTAGCTGCAAAACACTTGTTTATGCAGACCCATCACTACTGAGAAGCACATTGTCTCAGACTGACTGCAAACCCACATGTGATTTCCTAATGAATATGCATCAGTATTGGCTGTACGCTCTGGGAAGTGCAATCTCTTAGGTTGCAAGCTAAGGTGTTGACATTCTTCTCGCAAAATAGAAGCCCACGGTATTAGAGGGACAGTGACAGCATGGATACAGAACTGGCTGGGAGACAGAAAGCAGAGAGTGGTGGTGAATGGCTGCTTTTCTGACTGGAGGGAATTGTGCAGTGGTGTCCCCCAGGAGTCGGTATTGGGACCACTGCTGTTTCTGATCTATATAAATGACCTGGACTTGGGTATAGAGAGTACAATTTCCAAGTTTGTAGATGATACTAAGTTAGGAAAAGTAGTAAACAGTGAGGAGGATAGTAACAGACTGCAAATGGACATAGACAGACTGGTAAAATGGGCAGACATGTGGCAGATGAAGTTTAATGTGGAGAAATGCAAAGTGAAGTATTTTGGGAGGAAGAATAAGGTGAGGCAATATAAGCTGATGGTACAATTTTAAAAGGGGTGAAGGAACAGAGAGACCTGAGGGTTCACATAAGTCACTCTTTGAAGGTGGCCGGACAGGGAGATAAAGCTGGTAAAAAGCAAATGGGATACTGGGCTTTCTAAATAGGGGCATAGAATAGAAAAGTCAGGAAGTTATGATGAACTTTTATAAAACACTGGTTAGGCCTCAACATGAGACTGTGTGGGCACCACACTTTAGGAAGGATGTCGAGGCATTGGAGCGTGTGCAAAAGAGATTTCCAGGATGGAACCAGGAATGAGGGACTTCAGTTATCAGGAGAGGCGAGAGAAGCTGGGATTATTCTCCCTGGAGCAGAGAAGGTTAAGAGGAGACTCAATAGAAGTTTTCAAAATTATGAGGGGATTCGATAGGGTGAACAAGGAGAATCTATTTCCACTGGCGGGTGGGTCGGTAACCCGAGGACACTGATTTAAAATAGTTGTTAAAAGAAACAGAGGGGAGGAGAAGTTTTTTCACACAACGAGTTGTTCGGATCTGGAATGCATTGCCTGAAAGGGTGGTGGAAGCCGATTCGATAACAACTTTTAAGAGAGAAGTGGATAATTATTTGGGAAGGACAAGTTTGCAGGGCTATGGGGAGACAGTGGGGGAGTGGGATTGAATTGGTTAGCTCTTTTCAAAGAGCCGGCACAGACACAATGGGCCGAATGGCCTCCTTCTGTGCTGTATGATTCTATGATAGAACATCACTTGTCTGATTCGGGTCTGGTCTTCTGTGAGTTTTTCACTCCTTCCATCTCACTGTCAGCCGCCGAAACTTCAGCCACTAGGTCCTGTGCTCTCTGGAAATTGCTGCCAGATTCCCTTGTGGGGAATATTGCTGTTCATTTCATTACAATCTTGAGACAGGCACAAACAACAACCAACAACTTGCATTTACTGTGTATATAATAACCCTCATTCAAGACAGTGTCTCAGATGGCAGGTTGATATGGAAAGAGCTGGCAGGATTGAATCATTCAAAAGAAACCAGATAAGCACTTCAGTAGAAAAAAACATTAATGTATATGGGGAAAGAGCTGGAATGTGGGGTTAATAAAAAGGACAAGGGACAAATCGGGATAGCACTTGCACAGACACAAGAGACCAAGTGACCTCCTCCCTTGCTCAACATTTGTCCTGAGCTTTCACGGAGCTTTAACAGAATGTCAACAATTAAATTAACTCTTTACTTAACCTAACTAATTGCTATCAAGATTGTTCGCCTAACAAATAATAATAATAATCCCTGCATTTGATATAGCGTCTTATCGCGTTGTTGAGTCGTCTCAAAGCATTTCATAGAATATAGTGTAAAGCGAATTGACTCTGTTTTGTGGGCGATACCTACCTGGTATTGTCGACAGATGATTATTCTACTTCTGTGTTCATCTCGATATGTCTCTATCGAGCAGTGTTAATTGTCACACTGGCACTTCTGCCACTAAATAGCATCTTATCTGCACACTTACATTAACAACTTGCATCAGTATTGGCCGCTTGGGCTTTTATTGCTGTGAAATTAGATTTTATGTTTTTATGCAGCAGTTTCAGTACTGCTCTTCACTGGTGCTGCTCCAGTTTCTCCAGTGCAGGCCACAGGTTCAGCAGAGCTCTTCCCAGCCAACAGGACAGTCTCTGCCTTTGATCTGTTGAGATGACCTCAGTTCCCATTGCCTGCCTTTCCAGCAGGAGCAGTGACCATATCAGATGATAGGAGGAAGCCATTCAGCCCATCAAGCCTTTCCACCATCATAATAATAAATCATAATAATATAATAATAATTCTTGCATTTGATCTAGTGCTTTTTCACCTCGTACATATGTCTCAAACCGCTTCACAGATTATATTGTATAGTGGATTGACTTTGTATTTTGCGGGAGAAATCATAATTGATCTTTTAATCCCATTTGTTTGCTTGTTCTCCTTATTAAACAGTATAGAAATCATGAATCGTGACCAATCTTTTAATCAAGAACAACTTGCATTTTTAAAATCAACAACAAATTGCATTTATACAGTGCCTTTCACATCAAGAGATCGTCCCATGGCTGTGAGCTCAAAGTCCTGAAGTGGGGCTTGAATCCACAATTTTCTGACTTGGAGGCGAGAGTGCTAGCCTGACTGAACCAGGTTGACATAAATTTATGGCTTCTGTGACATTCCTCATTTATGAAGATATGTTTTCTGATTTTAGCCTGAATTTGAAGATTATGTCCCCGAGTTTTGGATCCCTAACCTTGGGAAAGGTATCTCTGCTAATTTGAATCACTGGGGTTGAAAAGTGCTGCCCATCAAAATGACCTCACCACCTAAACCACCTTTCTGAAATATATCCCCTCCACAGTCTCACCCCAGCTATGAACGACTTTTTACCTGTTTGAAACCTGGGATGTGTTCCATGCTGCGCAAACTGTGAATTGTTTTCAAGATGATCCAATCTGTCGGATTAATTTAATTCCAGTTCATTCTCATTTGAAGCAGCTGATTATTATACAATGCGACACACGTAAACAGGACTTGCAATGTGAGTGCACCCAGAGGATTAATTAGACACAGAATTACAGATTAGGTGACTGGTACATTCACGTAAATGCATTCGCTCATGTTCTGTGTCCTGCCGCAGTCAACAATGGGAAGCTGCCAGTTTTCATCTCCTGGCTGTTTGTGGGGCCTCGCTGTGGCTGCTCTGTTGTCTTATTAATAATAATAATAATCCTTGCATTTGATATAGTGCCCTATCACGTCGTTCAGAGGTTTCAAATTGACGTCTTATTATAAATGTACATTTGTGTTGTAATGTTGTTAAACTATGTCTTTCAGGACATCGCCTCACAGGTGGATGACCGGCACTAAGGAGCGGATGTTGATTAAAGTTACAGACCGGGAACCCAGTTACTTATTCCATCAGGGCAATGGCAGCACTGAAAGCCAGCAGGCCACCCGCCCCCGCCGGCCTTCAGGGCAGCAGCCACTGCCTCACGCCCACAGCTTCGCCTCGGACAGCGACACCCAGATTTTCTTCACTGAACGCAGACAGTCGCCGTACTTCAAACGGGCCGAGCACGTGGGCGGCTGCTCCCCGGTGCTGGCCCGAGGGGAGCCTTATCATTCCCCCATTCACACCCAGCACCGCAAGTACTCGTTTGAATCGCAGCCCTCGTCCCCCCGTTATGGCTATGAGCCCCCCCTTTACGAGGAGCCTCCCATCGAGTACCAGGCACCCATATACGACGAACCGCCCATGGAAGTGCAGTGCGAGGGCATGAGCCATTACAAGGCAGGCTCGCCTCAGAAGTCACCTGTTCGGAAGCCACACGTGATGCTTCACTCCCCCAAACAGGGCCAGAATTCCCCTTACCAGCAGCTCGTGCTCACCAAGCAGAAATGCTCTGAGAAGTCCATGAGTTTGGAATACAGCCCGGCTGGCAAGGAGCTGGTCAAGCAGCTGGTTTATGTGGAGCAGTCGGGCTCCAGTCCCAAGTTTAAATCTAGCACCAAGCACCGGTATTCACCGAGCAACATGTCCAATGTTTCGTACACTTTACAGCACAGCCACTCGCTGGTCAGGGACTTTCACCGGCCAGAGCTCAGGCCCACTGACTATAATGGGCTGGAAGGCTCTGAGTCCCGTTACGGTCACCAGGCCGGTCAGCAATCGCATGAGGACTCCATGTCGTGGTCCAGCCAGCATGACTCGCTCTCCTCCATTGGCTACTCCCCAAACACCAAGAAAAGGAAAAGCAGGAAGCCCTCCCTGACACAGGAGCTCTGTGGCGGGGGCGCGGGGGAGAGCTGCGGGGAGATCAGCCCAGCCGCCGAGCGGCTGCTGGGGGACGAGAGGCATTCACCGCTCGGCAAGCCTCAGCTCAGCCAGGCTGACAGCCAGAGTGGGGAGGGGGAAGCTGCCCGCGGGGGCAGCGCAGAGTATGCGGACCTCCACCTGACCCAAGCCCGGCTGGCACGGGAGGCACAACAGCTGCATCAGATCCGGCAGCGGAGCAGCTGGGACTCACAGAAGGAGGTGTCTGGGTACGAGAGCGATGGCGCCCTCCCACTGCCCATGCCCGGTCCTGTCGTCCGGGCTTTCAGCGAGGACGAGGCGTTGGCACAACAGGAGAGCAAACACTGGAAGAGGAGCACTTTAGAGAGGCTGGGCTTCCCTCAAGTGCTTTTGGAAAAGAGCGTCTCTGTCCAGACTAACCTGGCTTCACCCGAGCCATACCTCCACCCATCCCAGGTAAGCCTTCAACACAAGCAGCGATTTCGACCGAAGGAATGAGCGGGATTTAGTTTGGCTCAATCAGCAGCTCTCTTGTCTTTGGGTCAGAAAGTTGTGGGCTCGAACCCCCACATTAGCACCTGGAGCTGCCGCTCCAGTGCAGTCTTTCATTATCGGAGATACCGTCCTTCGAATGAGATGTGAAATGGTGGTCACTGTTGGAAAAGAGAAGGGAGATTTTCCCAATTAATCAGTCAATGCACAGTTTTTGCTGTGCGCCAAGCTGCACTTGAGAATGTGACGATTTTGAGACGTATCCACATTATAGGCATTGGGAAAATGGAAGCTCAAATACACGTTACCCCCTGGATTGTTAATTACATGAGCGAAATGTGAACGAGGGGAGAGGGGGTGCTGAATGACAGCAAGGGTTTAGATGTCCATACCAAATATTAAATGTCAATGCAACGCTTAAACCGTACCGTTCTGAACTGGAACCCGTCGTCATGCCAGCTCTGCTGTGGTCAGCAGTCCTTCCAAACGGGACAACAAAACATATTAGATGGGTTATTTTCCAGCTGACTCTGCATTCAGTGCAGGCTCAGTGTAGCTGGCGCTTTGGCTTTTTGTTCGGGGTTGGTGGGCTTTCTCTTACCAACTGTTCGTTTTTAATGTTATTAGGGGGAAAAAATGCAGAAACGAAGGGTTAAAATCCAGAATTTTTACCCCCTTTTTGCCAATTTCTTCCTCATTTGCTCTCTTCTTCCCTTTTTTCTGCTCTCCGCTGCTCTGTCACTCCCCTTCTCTCTCGTTCTCCTCTCTTTCTCTCTCCCTCTCTTCTCTCTTTCTCATCTCTTCTTCTTCCTAGAGGTGACTCAAAATTCTACCTGGGCAGGCTGGAAGTCTATATTTCTTGTCTCAGTATTCAAGATTGCAATGAATAGTGGACAATTGTTAATTTCAGTTTGTATTTGGAGGCCAGTTCTTTATAAGAACTGCAGAAAGCCATCTTCCAAATTATGGCTGAATCTCAGAATTTTCCATAATTCTGAGTGTTCTTAAATTGTAAGACAGAATCGGGTTGGAGTCCAAGAATATTGGCATGTAGAAGGCAGTGACTCTTTGGTGGGTTTGGTTCCATTGTCGTCATCTGCCCTCTGGTTCCTTGCCACAGGCTTTGTGACCTGTGGGCTTTGATGGTGTCGGCAAATAACAATTTTTAATGGGAATCCTTCATAAGGAAACCAGAACTATGCCAACCATAGCATCTACGTAAGAATACAATGCACATAAATTGATATTGACACAGCGCCTTTCTTGTCGGGAGAATGTCCCAAGGTACCCAAGCTGGTGGTGGGAACCGAGGGGATAGGGAGGGGAAAGATGACATGTTTAAGAGGTAGATCTTGAGATTGGACCTTGAACGAGGTGACGGAGGGAGTCGGAGATCATTCTTCATGTATAAGCCTGGACAAAGGGGCGATTGCGAACAAGTAGCAGTCATTTCATTACTATGAAGATTCAACAAAATAATTGCCATTTTTATTTATCAGCATTACACAAAACCACAACATAATATAAGAAATGCTAGACGAAAAAAGACCAAGGTCCATCTAGTTCGTCTTCCACCTTCCTGGTGGTCACATGCACATATGTCCCGAACTACCTATGTACCAAATCCCATAATGTTATTTCCAAAAAGAAAACTGTCTAATGTGTGTTTGAAAGAATCAACACTTCCTTTTTCAACCGTCTCCCCAGGGAGCCTCTTCCACAGGTTCACTACTCACTCACTGAAATAGTGTTCGCGTAGATTTGTTCTAAATTCCCCACCTTCAATCGCAGGCCGTGTCCTCTGGTTCTACTATTCTGGACAAGTTAAAACAGCCTGTCATGATCTATATTGTTTTTCTCCTTTAGAATCTTAAAGACAGCAATCACGTCGCCACTCAATCTTTTTTCCAGCGTGAACATGCCCAATTTACTTAGTCGCACCTCATAGTCCAGTCCTTCCAGTTCCTCAATCATTTTGAATACTCTCCTCTGTATCTTCTCGATTTCTCCCATATCCTTTTTGTACTGCGGTGACCAGAACTGTACACAGCACTCTAAGTATGGTCTCACCAATGACTTATACAGTGGCAGGTTTACCCCACTATATCAGCTTGCTATTGATCTTTTGATACATCCCAACATCTGGTTTGCTTTACTCACTGCCACAGAGCATTGTTGTGAGAGCTTCAATTTATTGTCAATCAGTACCCCCTGGTTCTTTTCATTTTCCATACATATTATAATAATAATAATAATAATAATCCTTGCATTTGAAATAGCGCTTTTCACGTCGGGAGGACGTCCCAAAGCGCTTCACAGAACACACTGTAAAGTGAATTGACTGTATATTTGTGGGCGAACGCTGCAGCCAATTGCGCACAGCAATGTCCCACAAACAGTCGTAGATTGAAAATGACCAATTTATTATTGTTTTTGGTTTTGGAGGGATTATTATTAGGCTCTGTGTGGAGTAAGGAAACTTGCCCAAGGTTTCGCCCTCTACCTGGAATTGAACCCAGGTCTCTCACCTGCAAAGCGAGTGGTCTAACCACTGAGCTACAGGACTCCACATTTTCCTTCCGTTCAAATAATAGTTCCTTCCAGGATTTTTTGTCCCCATGTGAAGTACTTTACATTTCTCCACATTGAATTTCATCTGCCACGGATCTGCCCAATTCCCAAGTATGTTCAAATCCTCCTGTGACCTATCTTGTGGAGTCCTGTAGCTCAGTGGTTAGAGCACTCGCTTTGCAAACGAGAGACCTGAGTTCAATTCCAAGCAGAGGGCGAAACCTTGGGCAAGTTTCCTTACTCCACACAGAGCCTAATAATAATCCCTCCAAAACCAAAAACAATAATAAATTGGTCATTTTCAATCCATGACTGTTTGTGGGACATTGCTGTGCGCAATTGGCTGCCGCATTTCGCCCACAAATATACAGTCAATTCACTTTACAGTATATTCTGTGAAGCGCTTTGGGACGTCCTCCCGACGTGAAAAGCGCTATATCAAATGCAAGGATTATTATTATTATTATCTTGTTCAGCTTCACAATCTACCACCTTCATTAGCTTGGTGTTAGCTTGGTCCCCTCTCGACTCTCTTCCTCCTCCTCGCTCCCTCCCTTCCCTCCCCTCACGCTGACCATTTCCCCCCTCCTCGCTCCCTCCCTTCCCTCCCCTCACCCTGACCATTTCCCCCCTGCTCGGGTCATGACCCAACTGTGCAGCGCCTTGGGACGTCCTCCTGACGTGAAAGGCGCTCTATAAATGGAATCTTGTTGTTGTTGTTGTTGTTGTCATCTGCAGACTTAGCCACCATGGTTGCGACTCCTAGTTCCAAATCATTTAGAAAAATATTAAACAACATAGGTCCCAAAACAGACACTTGTGGAACTTCAATGGTAACATTTTCCAAGTCTGATGATATTCCCTGTATCACCACCCTCTGGGTTCCTCCGATCAACCAATTGCATATCCATTGTAATATACCTCCACTGATTCCCGCTTTTTTTTACTTTCAGTACCAGCCTCTCAAGAGGAACTGTATCAATGACCTTATTGAAATCCAGATATGCAACATCCACAGCCTTACCCTTATCAAGCTCCCTTGTCACACCGTCAAAGAAAACCAGTAAATTAGATAGGCAAGACCTTCCCTTCATGAACCCATATTGGCTCTCATTTATGATTTTATTTCTGTCCAGATGCTCTATGATTTTATCCTTAATAAAAGTCGCCATAATTTTACCCACAATGGATGTCAAACTTACTGATCTGTAGTTTCCTGGGTCACTTTTGTTACTTTTTTAAAAATAGGAGTAACATCTGCCTTTCTCCAGTTCCCCCGGCACCTCTTCAGTATTCAGTGATTTTTTGTTGCTGCCAGTGTTTCTGTGACTTTCTTCCTTCGTTCCTTAAAGATCCTCGGATGCAATTTATCCGGCCTCTGAGATTTATTTATCTTAAGTTTACACAGCTGTTTGGTAACCATGCTGGTAGTGATATGAACAGTGTTGCAACTTTTCTCTGCGACATCCTTGAATTCTCTTTCCAGATCAGATAGGTTACCCATCTCCTCCTTGGTAAAGACTAATGCAAAAAAACTTATTTAGCACTATTGTAGCCTGTGCAGCGTTATTTGTCATGTTGTCTCATGAACCCACCTTCAGTGGCCCTATTCCATTGCTTGTTTTTCTTTTACTCTTAATGTAACCAAAAAAAACTTTTTGTTATTATCCTTCACATATCTTGCCGTGTTCAATTTAAAGCTTTTCTTTGCCATTCTGATGCCTTTTTTTTGCAGTCCTGGCATGCCTTCTGGTATTGAGTCTGACTTATTTCTGTACCATTTTCCTTCATGGCTTAAATGCTTTTTTTTTCCTTTTTATGATTTGCTTTTCAGACACGTCCAACTAGGCAGGGGTGCCTTTAAGCTTGGTACCTTTGCTTTGAGTGGGTACAAATTATTCCATTGCCTTCATAACTACCTCCTTGAAAGAACTCCATAGGTTGTCCACTCCCATTGCCATACTTAAGTCCGCCAATCCCACTCTTGATTAGACTTCTCAAGTGCACAACGTCAGTCCTCTTAAAATTTGGCAGTTTTATTTGGATTTTTATAACCTCACCAACTCCTGTGATGTCAAATGTGACTGCATTATGATTGCTGTTGCTTAATGCTTCTCCCATCTTTACGTTGGAGATTTGATCATCCCTGTTGCTCATTATCAAATCCAAGATGTTATCTTCCCTTGTTAGCTCTTTTACAAACTGAGTCATAAAACAGTCTTCCTTTAAGGACTGAAAGGACTGGACTATGATGAGCGACTTACCTCTCCGACCTACTATCCCCCTACCTACCTGCCCGTACCCTCCGTTCCTCTGGCTCCGGTCTGCTCCACATCCCCCGTCCCAACCGCCTTACCATCGGTGGCCGGGCCTTCAGCCTCTCAGCCCCGAGG